GAAAGCAGCCCAGCCCTGCCTCTTCAGCACTTTGTGTCACAGAGCCCAGAACGCTGCTGCTCCGTCTCCTTCCCCCCCTCACCCCCCGCTGGGGTGCAGTGGGGACCCCCGAGGAAGAGGAGGGAGCAGTGGGGCTGGATGGATCTTCCTGCCCCTCTCCTGGTGCTCCGGGCTCTGGCCACGGGTGACAGAGCATCCCGGCAGAGGGGTGTCCCCCGGGACGGGGGGGCTGCAGGGCCCGGGGAAGGGCAGGAGGGGGGGCTGACCCCCAGAAGGGTAAAAACGCCTCAACAGCAAAGAAAGCAAAGCGATGGGGCTGGGAGGAAGGCAGCCCACGGGGGTGGGTGGTTGCCATTTGGCTGGCGGGATATCCTTCCCCCGGGAAGGCCTTTTCCAGGCACTTAGCAGGGGGCACAGCTGGAAGAAGGAAGCGGGACCATTTCATTAGGCTGACAGCACGCTGAGGGATGAGCCCAGCGCTGGGGCAGGACTTGAGCTGGGCTGCAAGGCTGGATCCGCTCGCCTCCAGCCACAAAGGCTTCAACTGCCCCAAATTCCCTGGGAAAAGGGTCACCTTCGGCTGCGCTGGCACCGAAGCCACTGGCCTGGTTGAGCACTGGGCTGTGCCACAGCAGCGAGGGATGCCACAGACAACGGGCATCACCCACCCACGCCTCAAAGACAAGAGTTGCTGCTCCCTCCCTCAGTGCCTCTTCCCAGGGCTGGGGCAGACTTCGCACCCCGTGGCAAGGGTACCAACTGCCCTGTCGGGGGGACTAACTGCCCTGTCAGAGCAGCTCATCCCTGTGAATTCACCTCAATTTGCTGCTTCTTAACCCTGCTGGGGCTCACATGATCATTCCAGCTTAAAACGCCTTAAAAAAACCCTTAGTTTTGTCACCCATGTTAAAAAAACCCACCAAAATCCACAGGAGCACCCCGGGCCGACCAGCTGGGCTCCATAGAGCAAGGTGGGGAGGCCGGGGTGCTCCCCAAAACATCCACCCCCACTTTTGGGCAGGGCAGAGCACCCTGGGCTGAAGGAGGGGGTGCCACGCTCCCTCTTCCTCCTCCTCCTCCTCCTGGGGCAGTGCTGGGGGTGGCAGTGCATCCCTCAGGCTGGAGCTGTGTGGAGGTCTGTGGTGATGACAGCAGGGTCCCTCCTGAGTGCAGGTGAAGTGCTGGCAACGGGGTTTTTAACCTGAAGCTCTGCCATCTTTTCCCATCCAAACGCTCAGCACAAGTTGAAGCTGGGCAGGGATTCTGGGGGGAAAAGCCTGGAATCCAGCATGCCAGGAAAGCTGCACCCCCTCACACCCATGTTGTGAGGAAACCAGCTTGCTTTCGGGGGGAAACCAGCAGAAGAATTTGCAATCTGTATTTTTAGCACACATGGCATGGAGGTGCTTAAGCAAAACAACCAGGAGGAAAAAACACGTGGCAGGACACCACGGTGGGATTGTGGATGTTCAGGTGGAAACAACCAGCACCAATACACACACACACAGAGGAGAAAAAGCTAAGATTAGCTCTGCCTACCATAAGATGCACCCACTGGAAAAATGCCTTTCAGCTCCTGCACGTATAAAACCTCTGCGAGTGACTCCAGGGTCCATCTCAGAAAGGCGTAATGGCAGGAAGCCATAATATATTAAAACAGTAGATTAAAACAAACAAGAACACTTTGGATCATGTTACACATCACTCTCCTCACGCCTGACAACAGAAGGAATCAAAGGCAGTAAAAGACAATCGTCGACCATAATGGGCTCATCACTCTGCGATAAAAGTACTTGTGGGAGTTGGCTGCGAGGAGCCCGGGCGGCCGCAGGACGCGGAGCCTCCCCGGCCCCACACTCCTCCTCGGCAGCATTAGGCCTAAGTGCTCGGCCAAGGCTTCCTCGGAAAGGCAGCGCCATCGCCCGAGAGGCGTCACCGGGCCCGGGCTGCGGGTGATGTTCACACCTTATGGATCATCCTTAAAAATGACAGGACCAGGATGAGCGAGGCTCCGGGCTCTGCGTGATGGCTCCATCTCCATCGCCCCGGGAGGGAGCCCACCCTGCCCCATCCTGTCCGCCCGTGGTGGCCCAGGCCACTATCACCCCTGGTCCTCGGAGACGCCAGGGGTCCCAGTTGACCGTGCTGAAGGGAACGGGGCCGGCTCATGGATGGCTCCAACAGGACTTCCCAGCGCTCCCAGGAGCAGGAACTGTGAGCACAACCCTCTGCCTCGACAGGCACACAGAATCACAGAATCCTCATGGCTGGAAGGGACCTTTGAGATCATCAAGTCCAACCACAAAACCAAAAAAAACCAAAAAAAACCCACTCCACACAAACAGACACAGCCCAACAATCTCAGGCTCTAGAGCATGCCCTGATGTGCCACATCTACACGTTTCTTAAATACCTCCAGGGATGGGGACTCCACCACCTCCCTGGGCAGGCTGTTCCAGTGCCTGACCACCCTCTCAATGAAGTCATTCTTCCCAATATCTCATCTAAACCTCCCCTGCCCCAACTTCAGACCATTTCCTCTGCTCCTGTCATGATTCCCTTGGGAGAAGTCACCCACAGCCAGGAGAAGCTGAGATTTGGCCCCAGACACGCACGGACAGGCGTTTTGCCGTCTTTTCCTGAGTTTGGTGGCTTCAGGCCCATCACGGCCGTCGGGGTCCCGACCAAGGCAAGGGGGGGAAACAGCACAGGAGACACCGCTACTCTAAATCACACACATCACCTCAATAATCCCAAAATCTCACTTCCTGTCTGCAGTTCAGCTGTGCTGACGGGAGCAGAGTGCTGCTTTTAGCGTAAGGGGCTGTCTCCTGAGGGAAACGACGCCAACATCCTTATTCAAGCGGGTATACTAACTCCAAGTTATTGGCTCTGGCCAAAATGAAGAACAGCAAATTCTCTCAGTCGCCAACACAAACTCCCAACAGACTCCTGCGCTGAGGGGAAGCTCTGCTCCCACACCATCTCCCTGCCCTCTGCACACCCCTGGTGTGACCCTCGTGGTCCCCAGCCCCTGCTGCTGGGAGGACCGTGTTCCCACCACCCTGCTCCCTCCGAGCCGCGACCACCAGCTCCGTGGGTCGAGATCTATCACAGCCTTTCTGGCCTGGCAGGGGGTGGCCCGGCAGCCGGCCCCGGGAGCGCTGTTTGGGGAGAGGTTGCTATTTATAATGGCTTTTTCCGGGTGCTGCAGCCTGGGTGGGGAGGTGATGCTCTCAGCTCCACCAGAGTATTTCTCTCTCCGCCGCTGTGTCAGGGTTTCCTCGCCACCAGGGAGTGCAAATGTGTCTCCACATGCATTTCTGAGCACCCCCGGAAGCCGTGCCATAAATCAGCAGGAGGCAACGTCCCTCTTTAGCGCTCTGCGGGTAATGTATTTTGACGTCAAGGGAAGGAGACAGAGGCTTGACTTCAAACGCCACATCCTTTGCGCTGGGTCTGGTCCTGGGAGGGGGGAGCCCTCACAAACGTCCTTGGGGTGGCTGAGAAGGACCCACCGGTGAGAAGGACCCGCCACCACCAGGCATGGGCTCTGCTGTGCATCCCTGTCCCCATCCCTGTGACATCTGGCCCTTCTCCCTGCCCCGGCAGCGCTGTGACAGCCGGCAGGGTCCCCTCTGAGGACACCACAGTGACACCTTCAGTGCCTTCTGCCCAGGTTGTGGCCTGGTGATCTCCTGGCCTTTGGGGCACGGTGTCAGCGGGAGCCGCTCCCGACGCGGCTGCTCAGCCCTGGGGGGACAAAAGGCCACGTGTCTCGGGGACCATCCATCTCCGCGCGGTCACAGCACGGACACCGGTCAGCCCGGCCACGGGCCACAAATCAAATAACCTCTCCCAGCACTTACCATCAGCGCCGATTTAGCAGGAAAACAAAAGGCAGATTTTAGACCCGGTCCAAACGTACAAATCCCCATGCTCCACGTGCAGGAGCAGAACTCCCCTGTGAGAGCTTGGAGGTTATGAATTATGAATACACATTCACCCAGCACACCATGGGGGGTGTCACTAGAAGCCGAGTACTTTTCACAGGGGAGGAATGGCAGCGCGGTGGGTGACAGGTGACAGCCAGCAGCCCACGGCCACAGGCGGACGATGCTCGGCAATCCTTCACCCTGCTCTAACGGTCTAAAGGGAGGGCGAGCCAAGGCTCCCACAGCGTTACAGATTCTTCTGGACTCAAATAAAGGTGTCACTGTGCGAGCCCCACCACGCTCACTCAGCCAAATCCCCATCCCCCTGCAGACCCACACAGCGACTGCCTGGAACGAGAGCAGAGGAGCCAAAAATCACCGCCCGCCTTCCTTCCCTCCGTTCCCCTCCCCGCCGCCAGCCCGGTAACGAGAGCTCACTAATGGACCAGCTTAAGCACACAGCAGCTCTCAGCACCGCTCTCCAAAATAATCAATCAAGCATTTCATTTTTAACATAAGAAATAAGCTGCCTGGAGACTGTTAATAGATAACTGAATAAATTAAGTCACAGGTGGGATTCCAAACTAGCGCAAATCTTCTTACTCACCATTTTCTTGAGCCCATTTTTACGGAGAGCACCCACAGCCCCCGTTTCCCCAGAGAGCAGACAGAAGCCATCTGATGGGCCGTCACTCCCCTGCACACCCCAGGGACGGACCCACCAGGGCTTGGCTACTTCAGCAACTGATTTGGCACATCAGGACTGGGCCGGGACCTCTCAGTGGGAGCTCAGCCCCACTCCAGGTAATGTCACCTGGCCCCTCAGAGCGAGCCCTCAAACAGGACTTGGCCGAGACCTACGTGCAGTAGGAGCACCCGGTGCACATCTGGATGGGTTGGTGCACAGCTGGAGGGCTTCCAGGGCCTCGTTGCTCTGTCTGAAGAAAATCACGGCTTCACCACGCATGACCGACCCAATCAACACTTCTGCCTTCTGGTGCAGAGAGAAGGGAGAGGACACCAAACCCCATCGTAAAGGGCTCTTGCTAAAGACACGCAGCTCAGTTATTTCTTCCAAAAAATTTTAATTGAAATTCCATCTTTATGGCAAATGATACACAGTAAGATTAGACAACATTTTTTTGTGTGTGTAACATTAAATGGAAGTCCTTGTTCAATCTGAAATACATATGTTAGACTAAAAGCAAGTATTTGTACACATCTGGCATTAAAAATAAAAGGAACTTCTCTCCTTGCATCTTACACTTCACACTCATTTCCAGCTCCCTGGGTGTGATAGAAAGGGAAAATAAAGTGAGCTTGTAGATATTCCTTGGAAAATCCCGGCCTGGCCGAGCGTAGCTGTGCCACCCTCTGCCCCGGGGGCAGCAGGTTAGCTCACAGCCTGCCCACACACCTCACACCATCACTTACAGCACCACTCGTGGAAGCTACTGCAGTTTCCAAAATGCAGCCAGTAATAAGAGAGACCACGCAAACTCCAAAAGAGAAAAACTTCAGCTGAACAGAAAGAAAGCAAAAAGCAGAATAGCAGAGAGATAAATCAGGAGAACAGCGTAACCACAGGGAAATTCTTCAAAACATGCCATGTGCAAACACCTTTACTTCCCACTTCACTGTCCTCGGGACACCATGGGCTGTTTCCAGACTCTCCTATTTTTTCAGCTGGCGTGCTGGTGTGATGATTCCTTTCCCCAGCTCTCACCCTGACCCGGAGGTGCAGGGTGGGTTGTGCGAGCGGCACCCCCCGGCATGGGCAGGGGGAGAGCCAGCAGCCCGGGCAAGGGGACAGTGACACAGCAGCGTCCCTGGAGCTTCCCCACTACTCACATCCAGCCCGAGGACTTGGCTCCCACCAACCAAACCTTGGGATACAACAGCTGCCTCAACACATCACTTCCCACCCCTTGCTTTTTGTCAGGGCACATGTAAACAACATACACTTGCAAATGAAACAAAGTACTGCAAAAGGAGTGTAACTGACAAGGAAAAACCCAAACTAGATCATTGTCCCAGGACCAGAGCCCCCCAGATGCTGATACCTCCACGTGCTCACGGCAACTCAAGCAGAGCAGAGAGCGCTCAGCATCTGAGAGGGGGTCCTGCCCGAGTAGCACCAAACGTCTGACATCTGCCAGGGGGCAAACAGAATGCCTCACTGTGGGTTACAGCTGCAATCCCCACACGCAGTGGCTGCACCTCACCGTCAGTGCTGAAGAAGAAGGCACATAAATGGATGGGCTTCATCTCTCCTCACGTTAGACCTGTGCAAGGTCCAACTGCCTCCGAGTTAGTCCCCACGCCCCCCTCACCCTCAGAGGCAGCAACGGAGTGAAACCCACCCAACCCGGTGTGGACATCTGCTTGGAGAGACAAGTAATTCCTCAGAATAGTGTATTAAAACAATCTTTGGACCATAAAAGGTACCCAGGAAACCAGCTCAGATGTCGACATCGAGATCGGAAGCATCTAAAGTAAGGTCAGACAAATTCCACTGTCAATTAGCATAGTCAGGAATGCTCCCAAATAAAAACCCCAGGATCAGAAGACTTCCGTAGCAGCAGAATTCCCACTGTCACTAGTCTCAGTTATCTTGCTTTCTACTAAAAATACCCAGCAGAGCTGCTAGCTAACTCAGGTGGATTTTTCAACAGGCTTTTGATGCTGCACTAGGACAAAATGACATGTTAGGGAGCAGGACAGAGTGGTATTACATGGGCAGTTCAGCACAAGGAAGAACCCCACCAACTCTGTGAGATGAGACCCATCTGCTAAAAGCTAGAAAATTAAGTGATTTCTACATTATGGTCTAATAGCAGCAATAGGCTCAGTAATTATCTCACTTGTGGTTAGCATACTAAAAAGTGAATTTTAAATACCTTTTATAACTGGGGACAAATGTAATGCCTCATAATTAGTACCGGCTAATACGTTCAGTACTCTCTCCAGTATGGAAATAAAAAGCCAATCTATATTTATAGCATCACAATGTTCACATAAAGTTAACCTTCAGTTGCCAGCTCCAGCCACACTTCTAAACGTGCTGGTCACAGCTGTGATTTGAAGGTCAACATGCCCTTCAGCTGGTAAGAAAGAGGTATCAGTAGGAAGATTCTACAAACAGGCTGTTTTCCATGGACCCCTAAGCGGTCAAGCTTAGTGTAAGGAGTCAAGCAGAGGAACGGGAACAGAGGAAAGAAGTTCTTTGTCCAACGAGAGATAAGGCCAGTGTTCCCTTCCCACACGTATTGCAGACATTTTTACTCTACTGACATTGATGCAAAGCTTTTCCATGGACATGTGACAGCCACCTACTCCCCCTGAGCAAGGGCAGGCATCAGCTTTGTGCTCCTTCTTCCTGCCAGGGCGGCGAGCAGAGACCAGGAGGGGAGCAAGAACGGGAGAAGAGCAGTGCTGGCTGCTGGCTCCCTGCCACCCACACAGGCACCGGTTAGAAGGGTCGAGGAAGACTTCTTTCTGCTAAAGCAACCAGGGGCAGCAGTAACGTCAGAGGCTCTGGAGGAGCTGCAGTCTGCCCCACCACGATCACCCTGGGAAGCTGCAGTATGGCAGTAGAGACATGGCAACCAACTCTGGAGAGGTGTTGGCCCGCAGGCCCTAGCGAGGCTGTGCTCCATGGCAGTACTGGGCCCGCTGGCTGACCGACACAGCATCCATTCATTGCTTTAGTTTGATTCTTTCAACATAAAATAGAAGAGGACAAACCCCTGCTATACCAACAGAGGCCTGTCTTCTTTTTAAATAACCCTGTCCTTGAAAGATCAGAGGCTCAAACGGCTCACGCCTCATAATTCCATCAGCAAATAAAACTGTCTGAGCAGCGCGGCATCTGCTTCCCAAACATCACCATCACTGAGTCGCCAACGACAGACAACAGCCTGCGTTGGCAAAGTACCGGCATTTCAGTGCTAATGACGGAAAGTAAACATGGATACCCATGAAACTGAGAGCCAGAGTGACAGACTGATGGCTCAGTCCCACACAACAGTCACAGCTTTGCTCCTCTTCCCTCCCACCCAGAGGAGAGGTCCCCGGGTGAGGGGACCACGAGTGAGGTGGTGCAGCACTCAGAACCTGCCCTCAGCCACTCCAAGCACCCAGCTCGGGCTCGCTCTGTGGTGACCAGCCTTGTGGGAAAGGCCCCTCCATCCCAAGACTAACCCAGACACCGGTCCCGGTGCCCACAGCGAGGGAATACTGCCCTCAGAAGGGTTTTCACCACAGAACTGCTGCTGCCTGGGAGTGGATTCAGCAGTCCAAACAGCTGCCAGAAGGAGCAAGAGGTTCAGCTGGGGTCCGAGTGCATGCTCCTGCCCTCCAGCAGCACCAGAAGTCTGACAGAGGAAACTGGGCTGTTGGCAAAGGCCTGTGTGAGCACAGGGCTGGTGGCCCGCTCCCGGGCATGTGCTATGTAAATCACTCCTGACTCACCACCTCAGCTCTAAATTACAGCAGCAATTAAGCTACATCAATCCTACCTACGGAACTCCGTAGGTATCCCACAAAAACCACAGTGCTGCGTCACAGTAGAAGCACGGAGCAGATCTACAAACCTCTGGAGAGCAAGCCCGGCTTCCGAAATTTACCTAACCAAACTGAGAAAGCCCTTTTTAATAAAAATTTTTAAAAGCCATTTTGCTTAAAAGAGAAACCAGCACGTTTCCATACATGCTGCTGATAGCTGCTGGATTTGAAACACCCACAGTTTGTTCCAACTAATCACGCTCTTCAGCATCACCCAAACAGGTTTATTCCTCTCATTTTATGCTCTTCAAACGCAGAGGCTTTTCCTGCAGATAACGAGAGGGTTTTTTCTAGAAAATGTAAACAAATCTTGTGCGTTCTACTATCCCAGCTAAGCTTTCACCAGAAGCTTCTGGCAGGAGGGAAAAAAAACCAAAACAACACAAAGCCTTATCTTTACGTTCTAAAAAATACACACATTATTTAAAAAGCATTAGAAGTCACTTGATCTTCAAAGCCATCTGAAAAATCGCTCTCAGAGAGATCAACAGTGACTATCCTGGTTATACTGTACCTTAAGCATAAACAAAACAAACAATCATACGCTTGACCTGGAAATTTGAAATTAATGCAGTCATGACAAAACTGCATACAATTAAATCCCTGCATAGCAAACAGAAGCTCATTTGTAGAAATTTCTAAGTTTTTCAGTGCATATTATGGGCTCACGCTAAGTCCAATCAGAATCAGATGCCATTTCACAGCTCGCAGGATAAACGCCTTGTTCTCCTACTTTCTGCAAACTCTTCTCAAAAAACGAAAACATAAGAAAAGGTAAAACAAACAAACAAAAAAGTCAAGTTCTCCTCACTACCATGAGGTTAATGTCCCAGACTACCAGCCTGTAGGTGTGTTAACAGCGGGGAGAGTTTGGTGAGGAGTGCTGCTTCCCCAGGGTGATGCTCCTGCAGAACCCGGGGTGTCACAGCTGCTGGTCAGTGAAGAAGGCTTTTGTCTTCCTGCAGACAGGATTGACGCAGAGCGGGCAGCAGAGGGTTAACTGCCTGGAGCAGACCTCGTTGGACTGGATATGGGAACAGACCAGGTCTGCCAGGGCCTGAAAGACAGTTAAGTGAAAATCAGAAGTGAACAAACCTATCTACATAAAAAAAATGCCTTAACGTGTGTCAGGCTGAGGGTGGGATTGACAAACTGTGTATCCATCAGACTACACCTTTAAACACCACCCCCCTTTACTTCAGGGGAAAATCCTGCTTTAAAGCTGCATTGGCACAGTGTCTTTAGACAAATATTTCATTAAATGATTACTACAAATGAATACAAAACCATTCTTTTTCGTCTAACTAAACTTCTGAATTTCATTTTGAAAAAGCAACCACCACGAACTATAGTAAAAGAAAACTCCTTGTGGCATTCAGATTAAGTACAGGGGTTTCCATTTTTGCTTTTAAACTCAAAATACTTCAAAACGACAAGAAGACATCCATAATCCAGTAGGAAACAAACAACTGCAAACTTTTACAACTATTGCAACAAAGCAGGTACCTTGGAGAACAGTGGATTTCCATTAAGAGATTCGGCTCGTCTGATATTTTCAACTCCACACTGAATCAAAAATAAGGAAAAAAGAAGTTAAATCTGCCAGCTCCTTCACTACTTAGCCTTCAAAATCCTCCTTCCTACTTCATTCAGAAGTTGCCCCAGAATGACAGAACTGAATGTAATATCAAGTTTTTTCAATACAGGAAAAAATAACTATGATGCAAAATTTCACTTTGCTGTCACAAATTAAATGATTCTTTTTAGTAAGGACAGTAGTGGCTTAAAGAGTTAAATCTAGAAAGACAAAATCCCACCTGTTTTGTGTTGCTAAAAATCAAGCAGAGCTAAGCCACTTCACAGTAATTTTCAATTTACAGAAAAATAAAATTTACGTATTGCAAAAAATTTGCAGCTACAAAGCAAATTTTAAAACAGGAAAGGTAATTTCAGAGCACCAGTATCCAAAGAGGTACAAAACCCAGAAAACATTCACCTCATTCGCTAAAACTTGGGAGTACTCAATATCCAGTTCATAAAGCGTTTCAATATGGTCACTTGTAAATGCTATTGGGACCAACAACATGTTCTTCTTTCCTCTTTGGCACAGTCCTTTAATGGTCTCGTCTGTCTGCGGTCCAAGCCAAGGCATCGGTCCAACCTGGAAGAGAAGGGGGAGGGAAATAAAGAAGAAAAACCTCTTCCAAAGAACACCCACGTTTTCTGAAGCAGGACCACACAGGCCAGATTATGTTTAAGATGGAGCCAGCTATTTGTATTTCCCTGCTTTTGATAGTACCTCACACCTTCTCCGAATTTTTCTTAAAGACATACTGTTCCATCATTTAAATCCCAAAGAAACAGAACCTGGACTGGCCTTAATGAGACTCTCATTAAAATAAATGAAAATCTAAATAAGGGTCTCCTGTTTTCAGTTCAATAAAACCCTGGCCACTACTGCACAGGGGCTTCCTGCCTTTTAAAGTTACCATTCTGTAACAAACTGTCCTAATCCCTTTGCTACCCACATCTCAGAACTAGATGTTATGAGATCACAGATTTTCTAACGGACACATCAAACATCTACTTTAAAATGATGCAATATACAAAAAAGGCAAGAAACTGCAGATAGAGTATCTGGAAAGGCTGAATCTGAGTAAAAGATGGGGACTCTGTTCTAGCAGAAATACTTGCTGAAAATGGGGAAAAGGCGCTGAGGTTATGATCTTCTGAAGCTGCAAGGTCCTGAATCCATCAGCTGAAGAGCTCTGCAGTGGTGGGTGGCTCTGCAGCATCCCTGAGCACATACCTTGGACTGCCACACCAGCCTGTAGGGGTTGGAGTAGTTCAGCTTCTCCATGACTCTCTGGACAGTGGCTCCCACTTCCTGAGGGTACGGATCACCGCGGTTCACCACCTTCAACACAGAAACACCAGACCTTTTCCTTCCAGGGAACAACACGTTTGGGCAGAGAACACCTAACGACTGGGGAAGGTGACCACGCTGCGTGTGATGCAGCTGCCCCAGGGATGGGCCAGACCAAGTGCCTGGCTCATGCGAAACAGGGAAGAAAAACCACATTCTTGCCCATCACGAAGCTGCTTTACCAGAACATCTACTCCCCTCCTTCCCATATAAAGGATAAATTACTGTATCATCGTGCATAGGTATGGTTATGTTATGGTAACAGCACTGCATTTTGAAAAATGCTCAAAGAGCCATTTTGCTGCAGCTGCTGGTTGCTGCAGACAGAGAATCAAGCCATTTACCATTTTACTTTCATCCCTTCACAGAAAGCACGATTACAGCTTTCTAGAGGTGAGAAAATAACCAAGTTTTCCTTTCCCTTCCCATCCGGGTTTGAGCTGGCAAGTTCACGAGCCATGAAAGCAGCCACAGTGAGCCCAGCACCCCACCTTCAATGGTGGCCAGCAGCACAGGTCTATATTTGCCTGGCACTCCAGGCACTGTGGCCCCAGCCTGCGACCGTGTGAGCCACACACCCTTCCCATCAGCCCAGCCAGCACAACTCGGGTCTAACAGTGGCAGAAAGGAGCTGAGGTCACTCACAGACATGGGCAGGGAGTGAGCCGAGAAGAGGATGACAACATCTTTCCTTTTGTCAGGTGGAAACAGGTTCAGTTCCTTCTGTATGTGATCGGTGAAGCACTGTTCAGAATAAAAAAGGAAAGCCCTGAGTGAGAACCACTGAGAGGCATTATGCGCTCTCAAACGGCCTGGGACAGGCAGCTTCCAGCTTCCACGTTGCCTTAAGAACTTCAAAATTCCCTTTTTGGTATGCATGGGGCAGAAAATGTAATATGCCAGCACGTATTTCATACTCTTAAGTATACATCATCACACAGTGCCCAGTCCCAAAGCACCACGGGCTCCCATGAGTTGTTTTAAGAGCAAGGTTTCCTTTAATTGCTCCTGCCACAGCCAGTGCTGTGCCTGGAATCACCTCTTTGCTGCTGGGTGAGAACCCAACAAACCGACGTGACCTCGATGTGCCTCAACCATAGACCTGCTCTGAGCAGGAATCTGGACTAAGGACCTCGAGAGGTGCCTTCCAGCAAACACTGTCAGGATAATAGGAACATGCTTTTAAAACAAGATGTGCATGGTGGTCACTTACACACGTTATCATGCCAAAACATCAGGCATGAAATGACCATCCCTCTCCTGGAGTTTCATACACAGTAGACAGGACACATTTCATTACCAGAACTAAAATGTAACCTCAAATTGGAGCGTTTCTTTCATTCTTCTCAAGTTGTCTTCCTTCTTTTAGTACATTCTACAGCTAAGTATCTTGTAAGCTTTGTTAGAAGCTAAGACTTGATCTAAGTGAAGTATTTCCTCAGAATGTTTCTGTTGCCTAACAGTACACTGTGTTTTTACTGGTAGCAGATATTTCTAAAAAGGAAACTCAATAAATATCTGTATTTACCTAGTTCTTTGTTCTTTTAAATTCAGCTGGCAATGCAAAGATACCAAGTTTCTCCTACATCAACCAGCCTAAGAAAACCCCAGGGAATGCCAAAGTGGTAACGTATCAGACCTGCTGGGTTCTTCTCCCTCATACTGACTGCTAATTTCAAAGGCTCTCATACAAATCCATACCTGAATAAGAAGGGGATGTGTGGGCCATCGGTCAATTATACTCCACTTCATCTTTGGCTTCTCCCCTTTTTTATTATAGTAGCGATAAATGGCATTTAAACTGCTTCCTGAAATGCAGAGAATTAAGAACATAAGCTCAGCCAAGGCGTTAGCAACTTGTCAGGTGAAAAGAGTTTTGTGGCAAGCTATTATAGTATTTTAAAATGCTGTATATTTATGCAACCATAAATCAGAACTGAGAGCCTCAAACGGGGACAATTCAATCAGAGTTCATGCAATATACCAGTTATATCAAAGTTCATACAGTGTGCGAGCCACGAACAATTTGCTAAACCGTTTTTTGGCCTCAGAGCAATTATTGGTCTGGTTTCCATGAAGAAAGTTTACTCAGTCGTGCTCCTGAGCCTTCAGTTTCCGTTATCTCACAGTAAGAAAGGTCACATAGAGCCATCCTTAGTTTAGAAGTGCCTACCTCAAATTTAGAGCTGCAGTAAAGACAGAGGGTCCGGAGCTGGCGATGGTGCCAGGGGAAGGGGCACTGTGAGCAGACAGGAGGGCTGGCAGGGACACCCCCCGGGCTCCCAGGGCTCAGGGACTCACCTGTGGTAGAGCAGCTGTACTGTGGGTACTGCGTGAACGCGATAGCCCTCTCGATGCCGTCCTTCTCCATCTCTTCAATGGCCTCCTCCGTCAGGGGGTGGACGTACCGGAAGCCAATGTAGTACTTGTGAGGCGCTGCCAGCCAAAGCACAGGGAAAGGAATGGCAGAAAGAGAATGAGGACTCTCAATGATACACCATTAATAAGTGTAAAACGGAGAATCAGACAGACTGAACCTGCTGAAATAAACTTGTTGATAATCTTCTGGCTGCTCTTCTAAACTACTGTCATATAAACACAGCCAACTGGTTTTCTGGGAACTCACTTTGCTGTTATTAGAATTTAAAGGTGATTTATACTATTGTCTGCTTCTGCTGGGAGCAGCTCTCTTCTGCTTTTCCTTAGTTTAGCTGAGGCGTGGTTTCCAGACTGCCCAGAGCTCTGGCCTTTTACTGGGCAAGTTCTGATTTAAAGGATGTATTGGTAAAAATAGTGTCCCTACAAGATGCTAAATGAACACTGCTGTGCCCTAACACGGAGCACAGCTACAGGCGTGCCACAGGCTTCCTAACAGCACAGCTCAACTCGCTTACTGAAATCAGAAGGCAGATGTTTTAAATACACCAATGTAATTAAAATGTCAAAACCTGAGGAAAGACAAGGCTTTCTTCATTCTGCCATACAAAAGGAAACACATTGCTGAAGCAGTTTGCACATTCCAGGTAATTTTATTTACCTAAACTTTCTAATACAACTGGGCTGCAATTTTGTGTGCCAGCACTGAGATATTCTGCTCTGCAGGAATCAGCTTCAAACAGGAGAACGCCCTGTGCCTTACAGACATTAGCGCCTGTAAGGCATTTCTAGAAAATCCCTCATTTTTAACCATCATTTGACACAACTGCTCTGGTCACCACTCTCACCAGAGAAGATGCCTTCCCCCACCCTGGTGAGTTTGCTCCCTTTGCACACAAACCCCCGAGTCTCCCCCTGGGACTGTTGTTTGGGGCAGGAACTGCTGGTACTGAATATGGGTCACATGTTCTTTCATTCTGCTTTCTGGGTGTTTTTCATAGCCTTTGAACACTTTTATTATTGTCTCCAAGGACAACATTTCAGGCTTTTCCATTTTTCATCTCTCATCTTTTGGGTGTTGGCTTCAAGGTCTGGGAGTGTGGTTTGGTTAGGGGCAGGGAGGGAGGGCAGGTTTCTTGTTTTATTTTGCCTTTTTTTTTTTTTTTTTTTCAAGCAGAGGACAGAGGTTCTTAGAAGAACAAAAGCCAAGTTTCTTTTTCAGGGTTTCCGGGTCACTAGCTCTGAAATAACATTTAAGAAACATTTAAGAGGTTTCTAAAAGGAACCAGATGTCCCGTGCTTGGTCTCCACTCCAAACATTTAAACAGGATTCAGAAAGCAGGTTCAGCCAGCCCCACTTTTCTGCAGGAGGCCAGAGAGCTCCCAGCTGGGAGCAGCAGCAAATAATGACCCAACTTCAGGAGCCAATAACCTCATTAACATTTTTAAATGGCATTAAAACCAAAAGTCTGACTAACCAGAGCAAAGACAGTAGGAGTTTAACCTGGGAAAAAGACATACTGGGAAAAAACTTCGAATTAGTCCCCTTGCCAAAGTGTAACATGTAAGAAGTACACTACAAGCCAGCAAAGCAGCACGTCGGTTCATTTACCCAGGAGGGAACTTGACAGGTGGTTACTGATACTGTCTAACCTGAGCTCTTCACCAACTGCAAATACACAGCAACTCTAAACCCCATGCCCCAAAAGTCCGGACCAAGGTAAAACTAGTGTGCAAAGTACTTCTTTGCCCTTTGTGTGAAATCTTACAAACACAACCTGCAAGTGACCCCCTGACAGGGCTCAGTGCTCCCAAAGCACTACTTGTGCTATTCCCAAAGGTGTAGTTCCCGTAGCTCAGTCTGGAAGCAGCATCCAACTGTTTCAAGCTGTTCTGAAGCTACAGGGTAACTGTATCGCCGTGAGGTTACTCCAAACGCTTCAGGAAATGGTCAGCACTCAATTGGTTCTTAGCAATGAATGGTTAGCACTGCAATTTTTAAAGCTGCAGCTACTGTTAGGTAAAAAAGGAGACTCTAAATGACTTATCAGGTGTAAGAACTGCACAGAGGTGGGTGTGACTTCACCAAAAGCCATCACCAAACAAAAGCAAGCGGGAGTGGTGCACTGAGAAAAGCAGATAAACTTCCTAAGCTTATCTTTGGAACCTGTTGCAAGCCTGACCCTTCAGGGGCTGCAGCAGCTAAAACACCACTGCCTTGGACCCACAGCCCCATGGCAGTTTTGGGTTCAGACTTCAACTATACTTGCAGGGACCAAAGCCGAAATTAAGCTAGGGAGCAGCATCTGTGGGAGAAAGGATCACACACCACCCGAATGAAGGTATCAGTGACACATTCCACTATGAAAGAATGAAATAAATTTGGTTCTAGCCTTCCAAGAGCGTTACTTTTCACCTTCCAGAGCCTTTTACCGATCTTCTACCTCTCACCCTTTTTCTACCCAAGTCTGAAGCAGGTGCCACAAAGAATTACAAAGTAGCTAGGAATCAAATAGGTGTATTGTCAAACGTGGAGGGGATTCCCTGACACAGCAGCACCACACCAGCAAAGGTCACGGAATCTGAAGGGAGAAGACAACTTGCAGCACCACACGTTGTAGAGCTGCTGAGCTGAAGAGAATGGAAACCTCGCCTCCTTGGCTTCTCTTACTCCAGCAGGTTTTCCAGTGAAAATGTTTAATGTTCCTCTTGGAGCAGCAGGACGAGAAGTATTATCTGTAGCGAACACATCAGTGAGGAATTCAGCAGGCAGCTTAGCGATCTCCTTAATTCCTTCTGCTCACAAAGACAGTCTGCCACTTCAAAACCAAAAAGCATAACTCAGAGAAATACCTTATTGGAACAAAGGTGACCTCGAGATAGGTCACTGCAGGCAGACCAAACATCACGCTACTGTTTCTCCTGGCTTTTGTCAAAAGAGTGGTGATTCACTGCCTTTTTTTGTCTGTCCCATGAAAGGCAAGACATAGAAGACAACCATCACCCTTGAGCTGCCATGTGAATGTGGAAGTTTATCTTCTAGTGCTGCCACTCACATTTATTAACGCCATGGTTTTAATGTCAGGGAGCAAGGTTCAGAGAGATTCTGTGATCCAGAGAGAGGGAGGGGAGGTTGCATTCACCTTTCAAGTTTTCTTATCATCAAGGAAGAGCTGGCAAAGACAGTATCTCCTTCCACCCAAGGCAAACCGTTAGGCCTTATCTGCTGCTGAGGTCCTCGGGTGGGGCTCACTGCTACCACTCAACCAAAAGCTACAAAACCTCATCTTTTCTTCACACCAACCTCCCCTTCAGTCCTGAAACCAGGCCTAACTGGCATTAGTTCTTTTATCCATGATTAATAGTTAAAGATTCAGACAAAGTTCCAAAAGCTCTGATTACATTCAAGCAGTAATTGCAGAGGGACATTTCAGAGGAATGACATTTCAGACCCACAGCTTTGGAGAACAGTCAGACTCCCAGGGAGCCACCTATTCTTTAGGCTCAGGCTGGCGTAACAGAGGCAAATACAAAAGGTTTTACAGCATGAAGTTCTGGCCCCAGGGCTGTTCCATCCCAGACAGCCCCTGCACAGCAGCCTGGCCGAGCTGGCCCCGAGCAGAGAAGGGCAGTTGGAGGAGGCAGCAGGAGCAGGGAAGGCTGCACCACACTCCGAGCCCTCGCTGCTGGCTCTGCGAGTGTGCGGCCACCGAATGACACCGTCCTGCAGTCAGCTACAAGGAGCAGCCAGGAGAAAGTGCCCGTGCATTTACAGCAGGAGATCCCACCCCCCTGTGAAACTCAATAGCACCAGTGTGCAGAACACAAACAGCCAGGAAACCCTGCATGGACAGGCGGGTTTCACCCTGTGTGTGCACACACACACACAGCCTGAGAGCATCGTCACTCTCCCGCTCCACCTCCTCATCAAAGACAGGAGAATTATATGAGATTGCACTGCCACTGGTCACAGATCTCCACCTCATTTACACCAGGGAGAATGCCACTCTGAACACCCTTCTCCCATGCCTGCCCGATTTGCTCGTATGAAATACATTCCCCTTTCCTATCCTCTATGGCTCAACCACTTGTCTCCAGTACAGACTTCAAGCTCAAGGACTTAGAGGGCAAGGTGTGACACCTTGCAGTTGTACACACCAGTGGAACCTCCTGTCACCTAGCTTCAGCCATCTGAAAATAGATACCTTGTGCATCAGAGTCATCTAGATTTCTTCCCATCATCAAAGGGGAGAGGTAAGCGTACCTGTAGAGGGTTATCTTTGGTAACGATCTGAGGATGAACTGAATCACTTTGTCTCCAAGTCCTACTCTCTCTCAATGAAAGAGGGAGCAGAGAACCGACTTCCTGATGGCTGAAGTTATGCACAATTAAAGATGCCAACAGCATCTAAGGGTGGACTTACCCAGAGCAGCTTTTAAACTAGTTACCTTGGGCACAGAGAGAGGTGGCAGCTGGACCACAGCACATACTGGATCCAGTCAGTGTTTGGTTGTTGGCTTCTGGTGCTACACTGTGGTACTACAGCCTGAATGAGTGCCGACAGTACTCCCCAAAAATCAAAGCCATTCTCCAATGCAGACACATTGGCACAAAAAAACATTTACATAGGCTTAGTTTTTAACAAATAAGAACTTCTGCAATATCTTTGTCATGATTTTCTAGCAGGACTGAGAACACTGTTCACACTCACAATAAAAATGGAGAACTAAAAGCTTCTTTACAAGTGTATACTTTCAATACATGAAGCAAAAGCAACTTTTAACAAGCAGAGCAGAGTAAAGAAGTACCGGTGCGAGGAGACATGCTGTCCAGCAGTTTCACCATGCCTTCTCCCTGCACTGCCGTCCACTTCTTGATTGGTGATCCACCTCCGATCCTGCTGTACTGCTCCTGGATCTTCGGGGTGCGGCGTTTGGCGATGAATGGTGCCAATTTACTAAAGCATTCAAAAGGTACACATATTAACATCATAACCCAAATCACCACCCTGTCCCCAGTCTCTCCCCAGCACTGCGTTTTCCACAGCAATCTCCCCAAATAATAGCAAACCAGCATTGCACGGCCTGTTTAATGTTACATTCCATCACCTTTCCCAAAGTTACTAGGTGACAGGAAACCACAATTTGCAATTAGAAGGGAATGATTTGGGCATGCCTACTTCCAGAGAATTATAACACCGTTTTTTGCACTGACTGGCCCCAAAAGGAGAGAGTCTTAAGAAATGCTGGTATAAATAGAAGTTAAATGTTCAAGCCCACAGCTAAGGCAGCAACACCCAACACTGACTGTAACACAGGAGTTCACAGTTTCTCACTTTTGAGCTGGAAGCGTCATTAAATCTCTGTCCAGGAAGAGACGAAGTAAGAAATCATGCACATCATCCAGCCGTTCTGGGCCTCCCATGTTTAACATCAGGATTCCTGTTTTAGGTTTCCTATGGAAGCAAGAGACACGTCAAATCCTACTGACCTACTGTTTTTTGGTTGTTATTATTATTACAAAACAATCAGTTTATCCTTTAGCATGTCTTTCACAAAAGCAGCATCCTATTTAGAAGCTAATCCTGGTTATGTAAAAATATAAACTACAAGCATGAATAGCCAAAGAACAAGTATTTACATCATCTGTTTTTTAAAAAGTAACCACTTTGCAGCACAGTTTAACTGGAAATATACTAAGGAAATTCTCTCTCTGCTGAAGGTCGTAAGGGACATTATAAAACAGGGTCTAAGGAACTATCTCAGCTGAACACCAGCTGTAGATTCCAACACAAAATTCCAAGCAATCAGCAGCTTCCGCAGAAAACAGATGAGCTACCCACACAGGACTTTGTCTTCATTACTTTGCAGACACATCTCATCTCCTGCAGCCGTGAAAGCAGCGAAGAGCCATTCTACACATAAAATAACCAGAGGGTTGATTTCCTTCGGGTTGCTGGGAGGGTTAGTTTTTTTCCCACAACAGGTTTTCTATCCAGGCGCAGCCCTGGCACACTGTTCCAAGGACAACTTCCCTCCCAGCACAGCAGAGGGGAGCAGACGGTGATATCAGCCTTTACGGAAGCAGCTGCTGATCACAACTCTCACCCAAGAGCTGCATTTCCCCACGGAATCATCTTCCCTGCACGAAGGAGCCCAGAGACCAGCATCTCTCACCTCCTGCATGGACGGAGCCGAGGTCGCACGGGGAGCTTTGCCCTCCTCTTGTTAAAGCCAAAGCTCCCCAGAGGGGCACAAAGAGGAGCCTAGGCCTGCCCTGATGGATAGGGACCTCAGTTTCCATTCCCCTCCTCCTGAACAGGTCAGGAGACGCTGAATAAAACCCAGGAAGTGGGAAACAGAACCTCAAGTAACAGTAGTGCCCTACAGCTTGTTCTATCACTGCTGCACTGCCTCAGGCCGTACCCTGGGCCACCCTGCAGACAAGGCAGGCCATCCTTGTCCCACAGAACTGTGAAAACAAGAGGTGAATGCAGCCAGCCAGATAAAAGCCATTACACACGCACAAAAAAACCCCTAGATCACACCCTGCGAGTGCCACATTTTACAGCAGAAGCAGCTTTGCTATGGGAGCAAAGCAGCCCACGGTATCAGAGGGAGACAGAGGGCAGAGGCAGCAGGGCACACCCAGCCCTCAGCCCACACTTACCGCACTTCGGGCTGAATTTGAGGTTTCGTGCTTTCCGTCACCGCGGCCGCAGTCGCCTGGCCCCTCCATCGCACCGGCACCCGCAGCTGGCTGCTGCTCTGCACAACTGGAAGAAAGATAACAGGAACATCAATAACCTCGCACCGGGCTGAGGGGCCTCTTCCCCAGATAGGCACTAATCCCCCAACAGCTACAGAAACGCTCTGCGCAGTACCGCGCTGCTTGGCGTCTTCTCCCTTTAAGCTCCAGCCCCTGGAATCAAAGAAAGTCGTGAAATTGCAAGCTCCTGCCTCTCTTTAAACACTCTGTATACTAACAGCTTTTCAGATACCAGGGAGCAACCTCAACCCAAACAAAAGCCTCACTGATCTTTAAGCTCCAATCATAAGTCCAAAATAACCGGTGAGAACACAAGAGAAACTCCGCAGGGCTGACAGGCTAGGGAAGGAAGGATGTCAAGCTACCAAACTCCTCATGCTAACTCTAAAAAAGCAAAGTATTTCTACACTGCCTCCACAACATAGGTTAGTCATTTGTTAATTTAGCATCCCCAGCTAACTTCAGCAGCGTAGGTCAGCACCTACAAAACCTAAGCACATGGCTCCTTAGCTTGACCCTGTGCCAGGTACCCTGAACAGCAGCTTCAGAATCCATTTACCCGGGGACGCAGGCAGCCTTCTTTCTCACTACCCTGTGAGGCGACTTCTATTATTCCTGGATTTCAGCATTAGCCAAAAAAAAGGGTACTTTACTTCCCACATGCTGGCTGCAGTCTGCTTTCTCAAAAGCACGCTTTGTTTTCCGTAGGAGTTCATAGTCATTACACGATATTTTTCAGTGCAACAATAGTGTGAATTGCCCAAGATGAAAAAAAAATTGTTAAATTCTTCATCCCCGGCTCTGCAGCAATCGTTTGGTGCGACACTTCCCTCGTCAGACGGCAGGAGTTCCAGCAGCAATTGAGCCCCAATAGCACAGACCTCCTCAGCAGCCGACCCACCCGCTGCGAAGAGCATCTTACGGTTCACAGGTCCCTAATAACATCCCCAACAGATGCTGAACGCCCTCAAAACCTGCTGAAATCAATGACAGTGAAAAGCATCTTGCAAATCCAGCTTCTTACTCGGGATTAAGCGTGTGTAGCTGGGGATGCCTGTGTCTGCAGCGACATAAAAGGCTGAAAACTAAAGAACTTCAATTCAAGCATCGCTGATGCCTGAAAGACTCTTTTCAAATGTTTATATTCTTCCAGTTCTTAGGTTATTGCTTTTTGAAGTGCTGACACTATGTGTTAATTACAGAGGACAACAAAAAGAGAAGTTTCAATGGCTGTATTGACCCTTCTGCACTGTAAATAAATACTGGAAAGCATTTGTTTTACTTAAGGTGAGGTTTGGGGCCCATTTCTATCTGCACCATAAAACACATGGTGCAGAACGCAGAGGAGGTGCAACAACAATGCTTCTAGCTTGATGGAAGATTGATAGAAGTGTTCTGAAAGTTTTAGAAGTGGGATTATCGTGGCAGCCTCTGGAGCCACAGCCTGACACAGCTGGTGGTGGGTGAGTGCCCACACTCCCATGGCTCTCGGGGTCCCCTCGGTTAGTTGCTCCCCCTCTACGGTGTTACAGTGGCTATAATTATACTTCAACTATATATTGTATTTACAGAGAGTGAGAAAGAGAGCTCCTCAAGACCTCAGGACAAGGGGAAATGGCCTCAAGTTGCACCAGGGGAGGTTCAGGGTGGATATTAGGAAAAATGTCTTCATGGAAAGGGGCGTCAAGCCTTGGACGAGGCTGCCCAGGGCAGTGGTGGAGTCCCCATCCCTGGAGGGATGGACAAGCCGGGCAGACGTGGTGCTGAGGGACACGGGTCGGTGGTGGTTGGGACGGTGTTGGGTTGGTGGTTGGGCTCCATGGTCTGAAAGGTCCCTTCCAACCTGCAGGGGCGTGAAACTGACCCGCAGGGGCGTGAAATTGACCCGCAGCTCTATTGACTGCCCACACCTCCTCGCCTGCCCGGCCTTATCTCACAAAACGCAACCCGTGAACCGTTAAAGAAAGGGCGATTTTTCACACAAACACGGTCTAAAAATTAAACTCCTGAGAGAAAAAAAAACAACAACGAAACAAAACAAAAAAAATCCAGAAAAAACCAAAGCCAACCAAACAATGAAAACCAGAGCCTGACAGCACACAAAGGCAAATTTCTCTCAGAAGCCTCTCAACTCCTCAGAGGAGAAGCCACCACCAGCCTTCCCCGTAATTAAGCCGGGCTTATCGAAGGTCTCTGCGGCGAGGGGAGCCGGCCCCGCGGCGGGGAGGCCCCGGCTCCCCCCGGCAGCGTTACGCAAAGGCACCGTTGTGTAACGGCCGTCCCGCCGCCCTCACAGCCCCCCAGCCCCGGCGGGGAGACCGGCAGCCCTCCGGTCCTTCCCCTTCCTCACACCCGCCGTCCCCCCCCCGCCTCGGCACCCCCGTTCCCGCCCGGCGGCGCCCACAGACTCACGCTGACGCGCCCGCCCGGGTCTTTTCTTCGCTTCGCGGGGCAGCTCGACCCCTCGTTCCCGAGCTCCTGAAGGGGGGGGGCGGCCTAAGGGACTCCCGGTTCGGCCCCCGTCGCCTCCGCCGCCGCCCCCCGGTACCGCCCTCGCTGCCGTACGGCAGCGAGGGCGGTACCGGGGGGCGGCGGCGGAGGCGACGGGGGCCGAACCGGGAGTCCCTTAGGCCGCCCCCCCCCTTTAGGAGCTCGGGAACGGGGGGTCGAGCTGCCCCGCGAAGCGAAGAAAAGACCGCACTATCCTTAAAGAAAAGGAGATTTTTAAAACCTGTTTTTAAACCCTGTCACTCGGGTTAGTCCCCGTCCCCCCCTTCACTCTGGAGAACTTTTGGGGAGGGAGGTTACCCCTGACTGGAAAGGGAAAGGAGGTGGCCTTTGGTGCTGGCGGAGGAAATAGACATATGTTTTGGCGGAGGAAATTGACATACGTTTTGAGTCACAGAATGGTCTGGGTGGGAAGGGACCTTAAAGCCCTGCTAGTGCCATCCCTGGACACCTCCCACCAGACCAGGTTGCTCCAAGCCCCCTCCAACCTGGCCTTGAACCCCTCCAGGGATGGGGCAGCCACAGCTTCTCTGGGCAACCTGGGCCAGGCTCTCACCACCTTCACAGCAAAGTTCTTCCCCAGATCTAACCCAAATCTCCCATTTTTCAATTAAAAACCCTTCCTCCTCATCCTATGGCTCCCCTCCCTGATCCAGAGTCCCTCCCCATCTCTCCTGGAGCCCCTTGAGGGACTGGAAAGGGCTCTAAGGTCTCCCCAGAGCCTTCTCTTCTCCAGGCTGAACCCCCCAACTCTCTCAGCCCCCCTCACAGCATCTTTGTGACCGACAGCTTCATGTCCTGCTGAAGTTGGTGCCCCCAGAGCTGGAGGCTGCACTGCAGGGGGGTCTCCCCACAGCTGGGGGTCTCTAAGAGATGGAAAGCACAGGCTGTTCCTTCCCAAATTCCGCCTCTGCCAGGGAGCAGAGGGAGAGCTCTGCCATAGGGCTGGGAAGCACACAGCATTTACAGTGCATCATTTATGAGATTTCCTTCACCTGCTGGGAAAAAAAAAAAAAGGAGACACCATACAAACCCACAACTGATGAGACACAGAAATAAAACCAAGTTACATTTATCATTTTTCAATCCCTAACAGTAATATGTTTCTTTTAACAATCAGAGCTCCACACTGAGCTTCGATGATGAATCAGGAGCTGCACCAATCCTCAGGAACACCCCAAAGGTTTGGTTTGAAGCAGCATTTCAGCATCACCGCACACGTTCTGTTTCAGCCCACGGAGTTTACTCCTTGTTCCTCCCCCAGTGGATTGGCAGAGGGGTGTGCTCTGCTGGGGGATGTTTCCCAGGCAGGGGCTTGCCCAGCACCACCTCTGCTCCCCGGCAGACGAGGGCACTGCACCACAGACTCCAGTTAAGTTCCACTCAGCATCTTTCATCCCAGTCACCTTTTAAGCTCCTTATCTCCTTTATCTGCTCTGCCTCTCCCACAAGCACCTCTTAACTCCTCAGCCCTTCCTCTCCCCGCTCCTCTGGTACCGAGGCTTTTAACCTTTACAAAGCAGCTCAGCCCTGCCAGTTTTAAGGACAGAAAACTGGTCACCAAGCCATGTTCTTCTAGTCCCAAGACATTAAATTCAGATATTTAGGAGCTCTGGAAGGAACCTCACATGCTCCAGCTGTCTCAGTAAAAGAAATTAGTTCAAAAAGAAAAAAGCTCATTCCATTTTTTTGGAATATGTGTTCCCTGCACTTGAAAATTCCGTTTCCCTGTGTGTTTGCCAGGACAGGCTATTACCGAGTAACCTACAGTGGCCAAGTGAGAGGAGAGAAACAGACACTACAGGTCAAGAACTGCTGTCTCACACACCAACTCATGTTGCCATAATTTATTGGTTGCTGATTTAGATCAGTGTAGATATCTAACATGCAAGATGAAGAAAACCAGTGGTTTATTACAAAAATATGGGTATCACACAGCTCAACGATTCTATGAACGGCAAATCCAGATCAAGCCTCAGTCCTGGTAGCAAATGATGCACCTACCAATTTACCAGTTGTTTTTTTTTCTCTCTAGTAAAAGGAATTGCATATTTTCTGACTAAAAAGCACACAGATGACTCAACACATTAAATATTTAATTAAACCTGCCTGCTAACTTGATTACAGCCAGAAAATCCGCTCGGATGCAGGAGCACAAGAGAACAGGGAGCTAGCAAGGAAAGGTGGAACTGCTCTACTACAAAAACATACTTCAGTGGGAAAGTCCTGCTGAACTCCAGCTCACCTGGAGAAGAGAGCTCAGTCAGCACACAGCGCCAAAATCCAGCTGTACTGCAAAGTCACCAGTTCCTCTGGGCCTTCCATCAGCGAGTTCTGGTTTGCTGGAGATGGCAGGACCTTCACTGGGAAGGCACCACAAACACCCCCATGTCCACGAGCTGACAGATGCTCTGAGAACATGTCCTCTCCTGCTGCAAGTGAGCACGGGCTGGGTGTGCACAGACCCACCGTAGTGCTTGTCCACAGGCACCAGGAACAGCAGCAAAGCTACCTCACCGCCACCTCAGCCTTTCTAACCAATAAATAATGGGGAAAACCAAACCCAACCCAACCCACCCACCTCTCCTGCAGCGGAAACTGCTGCTCAATACTCCATACCCTGCTGCTGCATAAATGCCAACGGAACTTCCATTAAAAACAGGAGCTAAAAAAGTGCAGCGCTTAATATGATTATTCCCATTTTTGTTGTTTGCTGAGCTATTTAGATAATGTCTCTTCATACCATTCTCAGAGGTCACTATTTAGGAATTTACAGAGCTTCAACTCCCGATTTCTCCAATAGGAAACCGTAAGAGAAAACCGATTAAAGCAAATTAAAAAAATAATCAAATGCCCAGCATATTTTCTTTTAAGTCACAGAAATTAAAAGCAGAAGCGGGTCTTGTTTTTTAAATGACAGCTTATCAGGATCTTTGTTTTATGCTGAGAGCATAAATGCACCTAACAATTTTTTCTAAGGCTTCTTCCAGTTAATTGGTAGCGTTTTCCTTTAAAAAAGGGGTTTGTTTTCCTTTTCACATCCTAAATTAGTATTTGTATCAGCAACAGGTTGCACTAGGTCTTGTTCTGGGCCAGGCCGTGGGACAGCAGAGCGTAGGGTTCCTGGCCAAGCCCCGGCTGCTGGTTTCCTGGGCTCTCCTCCCGGGGACGCTAAGGCTTGCAGCGCTGCACGAAGCGTGGGTACAGACACACGTCCCGGATGTGGTGTCTGTTCAGAATCCAGGTCAGGAACCGCTCTAAGCCCAAGCCATAGCCACCGTGAGGGCACGTGCCGTACTTCCGCTGTGAAATTAAAACCAGAGAGTAGATATTAAACATTTTGTGGTTAGTTGTGTTATAATTGCAGCAATACTACCAGAAAAAACAGCACCGCAAAACCAAGACTATTTTCTGAAAGATGAGGAAAACGGACTACGCTCTTTCAGGCAAGGTAGTTGTGTTGAGTTCTCCTGAGTTCCTGGGGCAGTGTAAGAACAAGAAGAGGAACGTGGAAGGTAAAAGCCTTAACGATTCTTGTTCAGCCACCTCCTTTCCCCCTCCCCTCACGCCAGGTAGAGCTCAGTCGCTCAAGACGTGAAGGCCAACCTCTCTTTATCCAGCCACAGCCACTGCAGATGTCCTCACGAGAGGAACGCTCCGGCACAGCCTGGCCCAAGGCAGGTGATGTGTAAGGGCAGGGTGCGACCATGGCCAACAGCAGCGATTCTCACACAACGGCAACTGCTACCCGCTGCACTTTGCCAATGGCTAACTGATGACCTGCTTTGGGCCAGCAGAAACGTTTGCCATTTAGACACCTGTTTACAGACCTGGTCAGTGTACCAGTAGTACGGCGTGGGATCGATGCCCTCTCTCCTGTAGCCCTCCAGTAGCTCCTCGCTGTCCCAGGTACGCATGGAGCCTCCAACGATTTCACCAACGTTGGGCATCAGCACGTCAACCTGCAACACGCAGCACAGCATCAAGCTACTGCACCTACACTGCCTGCAGGATTAAATCTGCAGCCCAGATTTAAAACTGTATTTCCATAACACATTTTACCGTGTAATTTTAATTCTCTGTGACAGGAAGGCAGGCAATTCCTTCCAGACCCAACTTATAAACAGAATAAACTAACCTACAAGGTGCTCTAACCTAACCTCCAATACTCCTGGTCACATTCAATTGTAAAATTAACACCAAAACCCAACAACAACATTAAAAAAACTCTCCAAAACTACTCCCCAAACCTCCACAAACACAGCAGCCCTCCTGACACCACCACTGCCCCTCCCAGCCAGCGGTCAGTCAGCAGTCTCCCAGAAGTGACAGAAGTACTGCCACGAGACCTGAGGTGGGCGAAGGGCACGCTCACTGTCATCTCCCCACATTTCTGTAACACCCCAGAGCTCCTTCATTGATTTCTGTACAGCAACTCACAGACTCGGTAAGGCGGGCATCCTCACGGCAGCGCTGCATGTAGAAAGACTTGATCTCTGCGGGAAATCGGCACAACAGGATTGGCTCGTTAATGGTGTCTGTCATCAGCCTCTCGGGAGCTTCAGGGATATCCTAAGGTGAAAGAAGGCTTCATTAGTATTTAAACCCAAACCCACTCCAACACCTTGAGTCCCACATCTATCGGGCATGAAACAAAGAGTTTCAGACCACATGTATCCACACACTCCTCCTAACATACCTACATTTTTGAAACAAACGTATCTAGGAAAAAAATAATACTTAAAAACATACATGGCAGAGGAAAAAAAAAATGTTCAATTAAAATCCAACTCTTCCCAATGTTTCAGACAGGAATCTGAGGAAAACCTAACCTGAAACGTGGACTTCCCAAACAAGCAGCAAACACCAAAGAGGCTTCTCTCCTTCCTCCCTGATACTGTTTTCCATAAACCTCAAGACCAAGAAGTTTCAGTTTCCTTGTGAGGTACATGGGCTATTTTTGAAAACCTCAACTGACCAGTTAACACAGACACAGTCATTTGGTTATTTAGATTAACTTTTCAGACTGAAATTTGACAAGCTGTGAGACACCTAGCAGAAGTTTCATTTTGATCAATTCAGCAATTTCATTGTTTAAAAACTGTGGAGAAGAGAGGGATGACACCAGTCCCACTGACAGCCAGGGAACATCAGTGATGGTGTGATCGTGCCTTGTTAAACAAACACACTTTGTTTAGTCAAAAAACTGCCTATTCCTAAAAGGTTTAATTTGAACCTTTATTTCACCAATGGTGTCACACTCTTCTTAGATTCTGAGCTGAAGTCAGATGACGACATTTTTTTCTTTAATAGTAGAAGGCAGCCACACCTCTAACTTATTTTAATCCTCATTTCCCTCTGGAACTGTAAGTTCAGGGCAGATTGAAGGTCTCTCCCTCCCTTCATCTCCATCATCTTTGATACAGATGGGAAAAGCAGTAACAATAAAAAACCCAACACAACTGATTTTGAGCTGCCAAGGTTCCCTCAGAAAATGTTGTGCAGAGTTTGAAGTTAAATAATTATCATAGAAGTTAAACAATTATATGATCTCCTCCTAAAAATCTCAGTTCTCTTAAATCCTTTGATGATCATGGCTACATTGTCAAGTCCTCGTGAGCTCTTCAAGCCATTTTGCCTTACATGCTGGAGAAGAGTGAGAGGGAACAGAGGAGCAGATGACCACACAGGTGTTGATTCCAACATTCAAAGACGTCCTGTGAAAACCCAGCCCACGCTTGCCTTCCCCAGTACATTGTCACTACACCTCCCAGCACAGTCCAGACAAAAACCCAGGCCTTGTTCAAGTTTAGAGCAGAACTCCCTTTAACTTACACGGGACTAGAATTTCACTCCTAATCATTCCACACAAACCACAACAGACTCACACACCAACAGCACCGTGGTCCAGACACACTGTTCTTTGAGGGACGTGCACACCCTTAGTGCGGGGCAGTGGGGTTCTGTGTGGTTGTAGCTTCTACAGAGCCTCAGAAAGACTTACTTCCCCAAACTCATAGTAAGTGCCATCTTCCTTCTTCACATCGTGTTCCTTTAACCACTCGATGGCTTCAGAGTAGTTCATTCGTCGGAACGGACGTTTCGGGGGCTGGAAGCCCTGTGAATAAGAGTAGAAATAACAACAGTTGGAGGAGTACTGTTTTAGAAGAATATTTTTCTAGTTGATCAGCCACTTCCAGACTCGAAGCACACACACTACTTTTTCCAGCTCGTGCATCAACCAATCATTATTATTTAATAAATAAACAAACAAATCAAGGTCAGTACTGAAAAGTGAGAACCAAACACAGCCATCTTCCAAGCCCAGCCTAGCTCCCAGAGGAGATGCTGAAAAAGATGGCAGGAGAGGAGAGGGGGACTATTTTCAAAGCTGTTTCCTTTTCTGTACAAATTCACTGCACACACAGGTGTTTCAAACCCAGCCACGAGCAGAGGTTCACGCACAGGGCCCCAGGAGAACATTTTCACCTCCCTGTGCACAGAACAGCATCAGAACCCGCCACTGTGAGGGAAATGTGCCTCTGTTGTCTCCTACCTCCCGCCCCCTCCTCAGCCCAAATTTAAAACTGAACCTCCCAGTGTTTATCAGGAAAATGGGTCAAAATACCAGGGATGCTGAATTTGATTGCACTCTGAGAGAAGAGCTAGTGCCGGGGATAAAGTCAGCAGTCTCTCAGAGCCATCTCCTGTGCAAAGGCAGCAGAAGACAAAGGGTCTGTAACAAATGGAACAGCCGTGCAGAGCCCCACGTTCCAGGGTAGGAAGTAAAACACCAGTTGTTCATTGCTCCCTTGTGCTCAATCTGCGAGTACCGGCCGATCAATATTACGAGCTCTGGGATAGAGGGCTTCATTCCAGCAGTGCAGCACACACTGCAATAAATCCCAGCACATTGCTGGCGCCTGCAACTGCCGGCAGGAACTTGTGCCCCACACTCCCCTGCTTCTGGGAGAGTCATTACCTGCCTTGCAGCATTTTCATTCTTTTGGTGTTATTTAATATTTTCCTTATTATCAATAGCAGTGAGCAAGCAGAGCTCACTGCCGTGCCCTGCCTTCCCCAGATGAACACACTGATCAGGAAAGGCTAAAGATCATGTTTTCCCAGCTACTCCCCACTGTTCCCCGCTGCTGCCTACCGGGTTGAGGTCGTACAGCAAGCTCGACGCAGGAGATTTCAGGACTCTGTCCACTACATCACAAACCAAGTTCTCCAGGCGGTCCAGCAAATCCTCAAAACTGATGAAAGGACATTCGGCTTCAATGTGAGTGTATCTGAAACACAGAGTCGTGCCATTACAAAACCACGCACAAGCAACACATCTTTAGCTACGGAAAAAAATTTCCACAAGGAAAAAAAACTCCCAACACACTTTTGTCCCCTTTTTCATTTCTCCCACTTCTACACTGTGAAGAAAGCAAAGCTTTAAAAAAAGAAAAGAAAAAAAAGGAAGACAGCAGCATGAACTACATTTTCTAAAAAGACAAAGCTTCCTGAAAGTGTTACCAGCTCTATTTTGCCCAGATCGTCCTTCACTAAATGTCAACGTGTTATGACCAGCTGGACATTCACGGAGACAAAGTATTACCCCTAAATACCTTTCTGCTCAGTTCTGCACTAGTTCTGCACACTGTCTGCTCGCTGTACACTACGCCACCCAACCGCCTGCTACTCCCTGCCTTGCAAAATCCCCTCTACATAAAGGGAAAAGCAGTGTACTCTCTGCATACTCTGCCAAGTGCCTGCGGGTCCTGGACTGCTCAGCTCTGTAGGACTGAGCAACACAGAAAACGTCTCCCAGGGCTGGAATGCAGGTCTCCAGGTAGAGCTGGGACGACTGGGTCAAGTATGCTTCTTCCCCAAAATAATCCAGCTTGAACAGGGTTGAGCCTCCTTCCACCTGCGTCTGGACTAAAGTGGGTGGTGTGACCTGTTAAAGAACAGGACTGACATTACTTGAGTGAAGAATTAAGGACAACAATGACAAGACACAAGAGCAGTGATATAAGACACACTCTTCCAGAACACCATCTACACAGCTTGCATATGCACACAGAGAAATACTTCACTCTGATTCCCTTCACCACATTAAAGAGAGGTGTGCAGGCTGCTTGCCAGTCACGCTGTAACACACCTCAGGAGTGTCTACACACCTCAGAGATCTATGCCTATGAAACCAATCAAGTAAGTTCCCCAATGAAAGCTTTCTTTTTTTGTCCTTTTCAGGTCAAGTAGAAAGTCTACAGTTTTCCAGGAAAAAGACAGCCATCAAGTCAGGCCACTAAAGCAGTCACTTGCTGACAAGGAAAAATGTACTTACTTCATAATAGCCATTGGCAAAGAAGTGATCCCTGAAGGCCTGCACCACCATGGAGCGCACCTTGAAGATTTTGGACATGTTCTCCCCTCGAATCATCATGTGCCTGTTATTGAGTTGCACATCGACCTCCGAGTCCTCATTGAGCAGATTGTCAGCCCCTCCTGCTGGGGCCAGACCAATAAGCTCCCAGTAATCACAGTTCAGCTCGTGGCCTCCCGGGGCCTGCCCATTTGAAGAGAAAGAAGAATTTCAGAAGCCTAGTTTTTGCCCCTTGGATGCCAACAGCTTTGTACTATTCGAGCCACGTTCTACTGGAGAGCAAACTGCCAACAAGCTGAAGATCAGGACAGAGGAAGAACCACCTCACTATTGCACCTCTGAGCCTGTCTGTCAGACCCCTGAGCAATCAACTCCTGTGCTGCAGGCAGCTTTCCTGGGGCTGATCTCCCCTGCCCCAGGGCAGCAGAGGTGATGCCCCCTGCCCAGGCTCAGCCTGCCCGGCTCAGAGCACACCTCTCATTTCTGCTCTCACCAGCTCCCCCGTGTGGGGCACACTGCCAGTCTGTCCCCTAAAATGATAATTTTTTTCCATTCACAGTATTTTCTGGGTATAAATGCGGCTTTTCAAAATCTAATCAGTGAAAAACAACACTAGACTTGTGAAAAATCTGTTAGGAGTATTGTATCACTGTGATGAGACATGAAAACATCAAGTGTTTTCAATGTCCAGAATATAAATTCTGAGCAGCAACACAGTGTGAGACTCATGGTTATCAAGCCGCATAAAGTTGTTGAAAAAAAGAGATCCCCGTTTGGCTGCATTTATTTTTAGAAGCCCCCGTAGTGTAAGCCATGAAGGAAAGGGAATCCTGCCAACTTCTGGGCAGGGGGTGGACTCACATTTAACCAAGCTCGGCTCCCTAACCTTACATCAGTCTCCTGGGGACAGGACCCGAGTGGCAGGGTCAGCTAGAACAATTAAACCTATCCAAATTTCATCTGCAAAACATGCCAGTAATTACTTCCACCTTGGCTCCTCCTCCCACCAGGAGAAGGACAAGCTGCTGAAGAGAGGCAGAAGCCAAACACACTAACTCCTGTACCTGCTTGCCTTCGGGAACGAGGTTGAGCGTCCCGTACACCGCAACGCTGCTCTCCGTGGAGAGAACCAGCCCGTTGTAGCACTGGCACTGCGGGGAAAAAGGAGACAGAGGCACGGTTAGGGGAAGTTTTTATCTTGTTTTATCTATGTCATCCACTGGAGTCACAGACAGAGAAGATTAACTCACATTCATTTCTAAATAGTTCTCACACTGAAAAAAACCTCTAGTGGTAGGAGACACAACAATACTACAACTTAATCAGCAGGTTCGGGAGAACTTCCAATCATCTATGTAAAAGGAAAACCGATGAGGTATGAACACTTCACTTAATGACAGAACATAATTAAAGCATCCCAACTTACCAGCTCATCTGACAGGACACACTGAAGAAAACCCGTGCCATCTCTCAAAACAATGAACATCAAATTTTTTCCTAGTTAAAAAGGGAAGAAAAAAAAAGACTTTGCTAGAAACTGCTCACAGTATCCAGATCCACAACCCCCTTGCCAAGTCCTTCAGTGATAACCCCAACCAACAGCCGTGGAGTCAGAACCCCCTCTGCCCTGCACTTCCACACCCCGACTGAAGCCACCTCATGAACCAGGGTACCCAGCACCCAGACAGCAGGTATTACTCGCTAAATTTATTTTAAAAGAAGTCTTTTATGTGACTGAAAAATTCCAATTTGCTGATTTCATTATGAACAGATGCCAGATAACAGCTCCTCCATTTGCAGATTAGCTTAAAACACAAAACAGGTCTTCCAAAGACATTCTGCAGGACTGGCCTCTGAACTGACAATCCTGTAAGATTTCAGCTAAGAAATGTCTACGTGCTCATACATCATGCACAATTCTCAGTGTTGTCAGGATAAACCAAAGGCAGCGCCTAACCAATGGTTTAAAAATTAATTAAGAATAGGTGCTGTCTGACTCATTGTGAGCATCCAAATTGTGAAGGCTGAATGTGTTCCACCCCTCTGCACAGGTTCTAAAGGCTTGTGGTTTACCTTGTCTCCGTAATCTGTGAATCCAGCCAAAAATCTTCACCCTCTGGCCTCTGTAAGCCTTCAGAGCATCAATCTTCACCTGTAAATCAGAGGATAAAGGCAATCAAATAGAGAAATGATTCACCATTTAGATGGTGTTTAGCAATCAGAGAAATGATTCACCATTTAGATGGTGTTTTCCACATAATTGCCCAGAATACAAATGTGTATCATATCTCCCTCTCCAAAACAGCCCAGTTGCCCCTTTCCCAAAGAGCAGCCGTAAGAGCACAGGGCTCCAGCCAAAACCACCTTCTACAGGTGTACGTAGAAGCCCCCTCTACACAGGGCCCATCCAGAAGGCCACTACGGAGCAGCACACAGTGTCTGCTGACCAAGCAAAGGGCTGCACCAACCACCAAACCCAGCAGCACCCTACAAACAGCCAAGCAAGAACGTGCCTCAATAGGTTAAATGAGACCCTCTACCCAGCGCAGTCCCTCTGCTCCCCACCACTGCAACAAGCAAACAAAGCAACACCAACAACCTCTCAGGCAGGAGCATGGTCTCTACCAGCAGACAAACACGGACACAGAGAACTCTGATGTGTGATACCCACCAAGCGCATGAGAAAGACCAAGGTCTATACACCAGAGGACACAGATAACCAGAACAACAAAAGCCACAGCAAAAAGAGAGTGGCCTCCAGGAGCTGTGAGAGCCCCAGAGCAGGGAGAGGCTCAGACTCGGTGCAGGCGAGACGCTCTGACACAGGCCACGCATCGTGTGCTGCATCTTACACATTTGGGCTCTGGAAGACTAGGATCGTTCTTGATAACAACTTTCTTGGCTTCCTCCAGGTTCTTCTCTCTTCTCAAAAGGTCTTCTGCCTGGTGTAAATAAGTACTGCATTAAAATAGCTATAACCAGGCTTTGTAAGATTCCCACTCTTAACAATTACCAACGAACAACGCTTCTTCACACAGACAAGAACAAACCGAGGCATTTTTGGAGGGGTGGGAACGACAAGAACACTGCTTACTGGTTCTGGCAAAGAACAGTGGTATGTTCCCTCCAATGTGGCATCATCTGCACCTACCTCCTTTTTCTCCTTGGCTTCATTCTTCATTTGCTCCCTGTGCCACAGCTTTTTGACGTTTTTCATCTGTGACTTTGAAATAATGGCCCATCTCTAAAGGAATCCAAGGAGAGAGCAGAAGACAACAGGTTACATTGCGTCCCTTCCCACAAAGGAGCGTTAAATAATTTCTACCAGGAAGCTCTAATGCTACAGCACCTCGTTTTCTTTTTGTGAATCCACGTAGATCGTAGGAAACGGCTCCTTTCCTGCCGTCATCAGAGCCTAAAGAGGGGGAGAGAGTAACAGAATCAATGGTGCTGCCAGTGAAAGGAACCATCCTCCAAGAGACCGAACAGACGCCCCACTTCTGGTCCTGCCAGGCACAGCTGCAGAAACAGCTATCAAATCTACAATTAGAAAGAAAGGTCAGTCATTGACCTAAGGTGCAGTTCACACTCTTCAAAACCACCTGGAGATGTTTTCCAGTTACCTTCAAAACGGTCTTGAAGGGTTTCTTTTGTGTCCCATCGCCAGTGGAATCGTTGCCCTCTCGTTCAGAAACGTACAGCTCCTCTGCAAGGCACGACAAACAGGGGCAGTTACTCAAAAAGAAACAACCAGCTAGGGAAACGTTCAGGAACAACTGGAAACACACAAGGGCATACAAATCTTCGCGGTTATCAGCAGCAATAAACCTTGGAAACCAACCAGATGGTCAGGTATGGTAAAGATTATTCTAGATTTCTCATGCTAGAAGCCCACCCAGGCGGTGCGTTACGCTGAAGCCTCACACCCCCCGGTGCACTGAACCCCGGGGAGCCAGGGCTGCACAGCAGCACCCAGAATGGAGGCAGCCTTTGGGAGAAACACCTTTTTAGGTGGGCAGGGAGGCGGTACGCTGACAGGAGTCAGAGAGCTCAAGCCAAACCCGAGCCCAGCAATTAACTGCTAATTACAAGCACGGACAACGTCCCCTCCTCTGGCCAGCACACGGGCCCTGCGCGCCCCCGCCGCCCCCCGCCCGGCGGCTCCCAGGCACCGACCCTCCGCCGACACCCCGACCCTCCGCTCCCGAGGGGGCGTTCGCTCCCAGCTCCCGGGGCTCAGCGCCGGTACAGCCTCCGGGCCACACGCCGGGCCCCGGTCCCGCCATCCCCACCGGGCCCCATGGCCGGGCTGCACCCCCCGCGGCCACAGAATCACAGAATGTTCTAGGTTGGAAGACTTCCGCCGCCCTCAGCCAATCCGCCGCCGCCTTGCATCAGCCGCCCGGCCGCGCCCTTCCGCGCCGGTACCGGGGGCGGCTCCCGGCGCTCCGCTCCGGGCCCTGCCCGCCCGCCGCTCAGGGAGAAGCGATGAGCTTCCGGGCGTTTATTGGCCTCCGCTGTTTGAAATATACACCCCCTTAACCCAGGGCCGTCCGGGCCCGGCCGGGCTGCACCCCCCGCGGCCACCGAATCACAGAATCTTCTAGGTTGGAAGGGACCTTAAAGATCATCTTGTCCAACCGTCAACCTCACTGACAAAAA